CCATCGGTTATCGGTTCTTCGAGCTATATGGCCGGCCCATTGCCACTTCAGCTTACTAATCCGTTGGGCTATGTCGGTCAATCTGGTTTTACTGCGGATATCCTCATTTCTGAGTCTATCACGCAGAGAAACTCCGAGCATAGCCCTCTCCATAGCTCGCTGAGCGACCTTGAGCGTCCTCATACGGCCAGCAGTGAAGGACCACGTCTCTGATCCGTAAGTCATCACTGGCAACACGCACTGGTTGTACACTTTAGTTTTCAGAGATTGAGGTATACCTGACGAGAAGATATGTCGTAATTTCCCGAACGCTGCCCAGCCGAGTTGAATCCGTCGATTGACCTCTCGGTCGAAGTTGGACTTACCTAGTCGGACTATTTGTCCCAGGTAAACGTACTCGTCAACAACTTCGAGCATAGTGCTCCCAACAACTACCGGCATAGGTGTGACATGGACATTAAACATAATCTTTGTTTTGTCCATGTTCATCTTAAGACCTATCCGTTGGGAGGCACTATTGAGGTCATTGAGCATAGTGCTTAAGTCCTCCAGCGATTCTGCCATAAGGACTATATCGTCGGCAAATCGAAGGTGAGTGATGTACTCGCCATTGATGTTAATACCGTATCCTTTCCAGTCCAGTAGCTTGAAAACGTCTTCCAAAGCAGCGGTGAAGAGTTTCGGGGATATAACGTCACCCTGTCTTACACCTCTCTGCAGTTGGATAGGTTTCGAGCTCTGGTTCTGTACTCGGATAGCCATCGTAGCCCTACTGTACAAACACTTCAGCACTTCAATATACCGACAGTCAACTTGGCACCGCTGAAGGGACTGCAGCACCGCCCAAATTTCGACGGAATCAAAGGCTTTCTCATAGTCCACATACGCCAGGCAAAGTGGCAAATTGTACTCTTCAGTCTTCTGTAAAATCTGCCGCAGGGTATGTATGTGGTCTATGGTACTGAAGCCTTTTCGGAAACCGGCTTGTTCGGGAGGCTGGAAGTCGTCGAGTCTGCGTGCGAGACGATTCGTAATGACTCTCGAAAACAGCACGTAGACGCGGCTCAGAAGGGAAATCGGTCTGTAGTTCTTCAAGAGAGCGTTGTCGCCTTTCTTAAAGAACAAGACCACCGCACTTCTGCTCCACGCCTCTGGAGTAGTGCCACCATGGAGGACGGAATTGAAGAGCTTCTGAAGGACTTCAAGTACCGGTGTTCCACCCGCTTTCAGAAGCTCCGCTGTAATTCCATCCTCGCCTGGGGCCCTGCCGTTTTTAAGGTGCTGGAGAGCCATTCTAATCTCGCTTAGACTGACGTCCGGGATATCATCGGAATAGTGTCGGATAAGACTTGCTCTTGGATCGTTACTCACACTTGCGTGTGGCTCCAACGATGATGTGTACAGCTGCCCATAGAACCTCTCAATCTCACTCAAAATCTCAGGTGTCCCGGAAACGATGCTGCCACACTCAGTCTTCAGCCTTGACAGTTGGCTCTTTCTGGCAGACAGATCTCTGGCAAAGACTTTGGAGCCCTGGTTCCGCTCGATCGCTTCTTTAATACGAGCAGTATTAAAGTTGCGTAAGTCTCGCCGCATGCATTTGGAGATCTGTCTGTTCAGTTGCCTGTATGCTGTCAAATCTGTTGACGATTGCAGCCTCATCTCCCGTCTAACAGCCATGAGATTAAGAGTGTGATCGGAGAGTTTTTGTGTTCTTCTGCGGCGGGTCTTGCAGAACTTAGCTCCGACCGCATGGACAGTTTCCACGAGCTTGTCATTCATATCGTCCACTGCATTGCAATCTTGTAGGCACTGAAAGCGGTTGTGTAACTCGAGCTGAAAGTTTTCGGGATTTTGGATCAGAGCACGAGGGGGACGGAGCGTTGACTTCATTAGACGAGACCTCTCCAACTTAACGTTTAGGTTCAGTGTGCCTCTAACCATTCGGTGATCGCTGCCAGTTTTCACCCTTGCGATCACTGAGACATCATTGAACAGTTGGCGTCTGGTCGTCATAATGAAGTCAATCTCATTTTTTGTCGAACCGTCGGGGCTCGACCAGGTCCACTTCCTGTGGGGCCGCTTCTGGAAGAAAGAGTTCATCATAAAGAGTCCCTCTTTCTCCATAAAGTCGGCCAGCTGCTGGCCCCTTCGGTTCCGTTGCCCTACTCCAAATTTCCCTAACTTTAGCTCACCGCTTTCTCTTGTGCCTAGTTTTGCGTTGAAGTCTCCCATCAACACCGTGTAGTGGGTTTTGGAGGAACGTATGGCTTTGGAAATATCCTCATACATTTCCTCCACCTCCTCATCGGAATGTGCCGACGTTGGTGCGTAAACCTGTATGACCTTCAGCGAATACCGTTTGGTGATTCTGAGTATCAGGTACGCGACCCTCGTCGACACACTCTCAATCTGTACAACGTTGTTGACGACAGACTTGTGGACGATAAATCCGACACCTCCTTGGGACAGATGGTCGCCCTCCCGGTGATAGAACAAGTTGCCGGATTCGAGAATCACCGTGTCCTCCCCTCTCTTCGGACCTCGGATAATCCTATAATACTCCAGCGCAACTTGTCTATCTCTTCTTCCAGCTCCAGGATCTTCTCGTCAGTCCTCAGTGTGCGTGCGTTAAATGTTGCCAGGTCGAGTCGTCGTAGGTGGCAACCGAACCTCCACCGGAGATTCTTAGCACCCCCTGCCCCGCCGTTACCATGGTCGCCACCGTAGCCAGGAATAGCGGGGCCGCCGGGGACTGGGGGCCGTCTATTTGTGTAATTGTTCATGGGGGGTATATTGCCATAGTTGCCACGCTTGGCGAGCGGGTTGGCAACCGCAGTTTTTTTTTGTCGTACAGTTGCTGTTATCAGGAAGATGCTGCTGCCCATCTCCTGCCTGTCTCCCTCTGTCGCCTCTTACGACACCCACGGGAAGATATGGGGTAGTGGATATTCTTAACCGCCACTACACGGCATTTTACCTATATACTTATATAAAAATGAATGTTTCTTTGTCTGTCGCGTATGCGTTCCTAAACTCTTAATTATACGATTACAAAGAGACTTGGGTGGAAAGTTGTATTCACGTCCATGATTGTTTATTTGTTGATTTTTATGCTTTTCTATAATATAGTTCCTATAAGATGATGATCGTTATACGAAACTTTAGCATAGACTAAATAATAATTACTACGACTTTAGTAAGTTGTGAATGGTTCTGACAAAAAAATGCACGCTGCTGAAGCTAGTATGTTTAAAAACATACACAAAAAGTAAGTATGTCTAATTGTCAAAGGTCCACGTCAATGGTTTTACTTCTCATCTCCCTACCTACTTGCTGCTTTTCCAATTGTTAACGCGTGGTGTACAATTGGTATAATATACTCGGTTTAAATTATCACTGAATTCTAGTAATCATTCAATTTTAGGTCAGGGAGATTGTAACGTTCGTTTACTCTTTTAAAACAACATCTTATCCACTATCTCCAAACCATACCATAACAGTCTATCAAAGTATACTTCATAAGGGATATTTTTCTTAGTTGCCAAGCTTGGCAGGCGGATTGGCAAACACAGTTATTTTTAATTTATTATTGTTATAAGCATATTAGGGTTATGATACCCTTCTAACGCCTTCCTAATATAATCCTCTGCTGACTAAATGTAAAATGTAAATATTTCATCAAGTATGAGCAACAGCTTAAACAGAATGGGAATAAATGAACATTATGCAATGGCAAAACGAAAAGCAGCACTGAACAGTATAAACGTCTGAAGGTGGCTTACACCATTCAACCCAACCCGAAATGCTTTTTATAAATATGTATAAAGTACGTTGCCTTTTTATTTGTGGTAGAGCCACATTGTAGATTTATTATGGTCACTTTTCACTGGAAATCAGGCATTCCATCTTAGTCCTCAGGGGTGACAGCACATTTTAATTCTTAACCGAGGATTAATGTACCAGTGTGTGGTAGATGTCTATGGGCCACAGTATCTGCTTACCACCAAATGGATGTGTGCTCATTTGTCACCTGGTCTAAATTGTCACCCTTATACTATGAAACTTGGCTTACACACTGTGTGTCTTTATCTTAGAGTCTTAGATTATATACTTGACAACTTGACAAGTATATAATCAAAGCTTGGAGTATACATAATCAAGCATAGTTATCAGTACCGTCTTTCCCATCAGGGCACACGGGGCCCGTGCCCAGGGTGCTCCTATCGTCCCGGGGGCTCCCCTGACGAAAGGCACCGGCCTTATTCGCTTACGCTATACAATCTTAAGTCTGTTTTAGGAAAATATGACCTGACAAAAAATAGAGTAAATGAGGGCGTTGTTAGTGACGTTCTGGCAACCCTGAGCAGTGACAAGTCACACATTGCGGAGTTACCCAGAAAAAGTGGCATTGACAGATTTCCTAGGTAGAAATTATGTAGTTCCGCGTTTCGCCGCCATGTAAACGTTTTTGTCGGGCTGTACTCTCGCCTTACTTATAATCTGGATATGTTTTTATTTTCGGCAATCAATGTATTTATAATCTATGGGATGAAAATATTATTTCGTGCTGTAAAAACACACTTCTAAAGATTTAATGGCAAATGACTTATTTAATATGATAATTTTCAACCACAAATATTAGATTTTTATAGCAAATAATTGTTACGATCCTTTTTTTTTGGACAAATGAAGCTAAATTTTAATGTAATTAATAGAATAAACGTATTGATGTTGTTATAGAATATTTTCTTTTTTTGAAAGAAAGTTTAGGAAATAATTTTCCTAAGAAATTATCGTCCTCTCTTTGAAATCTGTCAAATATTTTACCTCATTATAATTTGGTGCCGCCCTGGTGGCAGAAAAAGAAGCCCTCGCAGAAAATTAATGCATTGCCTTTAACATGTATATAATGATTAAAATATTACTTTTAAATTTTTACGTCGCATAAAAATAAAAAGTTGACAACACACTTTACAGTTAAAAAATATTTTACAAACCTCTTCCACCGCCAGTTGGCGCGAATTTCTTTTTGGCTGCTATGCGCCTATAGTGCGCCTCTATTCTATTTTTGTGGAACATTGTAAATGCTATAAAACACACAATCATAGCTGTATATATTATAAAACAATTGTTCTCTAACGTCCAAACAGTAAGTGATATTACATTCATATTCGATTAATCGTGCAACGTTTTTAAAATGTTACATGAGCACACACTGGCAACGCACACGAGCGACTGAATCAGACTGAATGTGAATGGACTGAACTGAGTTTGTTGTCATTAGTAATCGCAAATCACAAATGCGTTCGTTGAAAGCATTTATAAAACTATTTTGGATTGTACATAAGAGCTATATTGCTGTTGATTAATATTAATGATAATCTCACGGCATTTTCATACGAGAAATAGACGGCCTTGACTTTTTATTATAAAACTGGAGATTGACAAAAAGTGCAAGGGGCAATTAGGACCCTGGTTAGTATAAAAAATAGACTTTTAATCTTATTTGCAAAAAGCAGTTTATGGTTAGCCTTTTACGGTAGCTATAGAATTCCCTTATCAGTCTATTGAGAGAGTCCTAATAACAAATAAAAAAGAAAGTATGGTTAGATGTAAAACTTTATCAGCTAAAATGTGCATTATACGCATAATATTATCTAACTAATAAGAATTAATAAGAATATTATATAATTTTAATATCTTTAAATTTCTGGATTTTAGCAAAGTAACGCCTGATTGGATTGGGAAAAGTAAAGGTGAAATGAAAAAAATAAAAAGAGGATTATCTCAGTGTTTCCTATTGAACCAGACTGGTTCAATAGGAAACAGACAGAACTAGCAGACAGAAATAACAGGCGGCAACCACGTGAAGGAAGAACTCCTCATACTTGCCCTGGGGATCAACATGAGCCACGCTCTCTCTCAGAGCCATTCGCCAAACTGCTCGCCGGAGGAGAGCAGTTCAGGTGTTAATATAGCCCTACTGGTAATGTCAAAATGTGAGAATTGGGAGTAGATTAACCCCTGCCTCGGACAGCTTTGGCAATGGACCGAAACTTGCTAATTCTGCCGATGTGCTCTGCTCTTGACTTGGTAATGACTCTTTTGAAGAATCTTGAGGCGAAATTATACTTCATTTTAAAAGCTCTGGTGTTCACATCCTGTGACATTGATGAGTCATCCCAGGCCCGGTAGCACTTCTGCTTATAATGTGATGGTATTTTACAGGAACAAGCAAACCATGGCTGAGATCTGCCTCCTATGGGCACCACAGAAGATGGAATAAAAATTCCATACCCTTAAAATACCAAATCAGCAACAGAATCAGCAACAATGCTGGGATCGACCGGCGAGAAGCACACCAAGGTAGGATGCAAAAAAAGAAGGCATCCTATTCCAATCGGCCGACCTATAGTTCCCAAACACGGCGGCAGCCTGCAGAATGCAACCACGACGTTAGCGTGAGTGACTCCAAAATCCGAACTAGACAATGGTCCGAGGAGCCAAGAGGGGCGTCGGCTGAGATCTGATATCTGTTCGGATGAGAGGCCAGTAAAAGGTCCAGGGTACAGGGAAGGTGCATGATCTTCCACATTTGGAATCCGCTTAGGCAAAGCAACCAGATGTGTAAGACCGTATGCCAAGGCAAAGGCATAAACAGATATCCCCGCGTGATGGGTTAAACGTGAATCGAGCCTTTTAACGTGGTGGACGTTAAAATCGCCAAGGATAACGATCTCTGCGGATGGGAACTGCTGTAGCAAGGAATCTTTGAACGTGGTTGATGAGCCTGTCTGTTTAGGCATTACCACTATGGGATCCATAGAGCCGCCCGTTGACGCGCGTCAAAGGATGGACAGGTCTGAATCTTCAAGACTGCCGAGGTGTCGAGAATACATGTCTTCTCTGATCGTATGCGTATGATTATGAGTTTAGTAGATCTGTGGATACGGGTCATGATGTGATACACAAGCCAGTAGCCACAAGCCCCTTAAGTAGGTACGAAGCTCGACTTGAACCACCATCGACAAAAATGTTCTGGTCATATTTACAAACCCTAATACCTTTACTAAATTAAAAAAATGTAAGACCTCGTCTATTTTTCCTCCTTAGGAGGTGAAAAGTAAAAGGTACCTTTTCCTAGTGGTCTAATTTTCTCCGTACCGAATTTAATTAAAATCAGTTGAGTAGTCTAACCGTGAAAACATAGCAGACAGACAGAATTACTTTTATATTTATAATAAAAATATTTACAATCTTGACAATATTTGGATAAAATTATTGTGAATGAAACCAACTCTATAAGAGTTGGTTTCATTTTTAAGTAAAAATGGAAATAATCGAGATAAAACAAGTAGTACTTTGGTTGAACAGTGTTTTTTTTTTGTTGGCTTTTTCTGGCAGACAGATCTCTTGCAAAGACTTTAGAGCCCTGGTTTTGGTCAATCGCTTTTTCAATACGAGCTGTATTAAAATTGCGTAAGTCCCGCCGCACGCATTTGGAGATCTGTCTGTTCAGTTGCCTGTATGGTGTCAAATCTGCTAACGATTGCAGCATCATCTCCCGTCTAACAGTCATGATCTTAAGAGTGTGATGAGAGATTTTTTCTGTTCTTCTGCGACCGGTCTTACAGAACTCAGCTCAGACTGCATGAACAGTTTCCACAAGCTTGTCATTTATATCGTCCACTTCATTGCAGTATTATAGACACTGAAAACGATTTTGTAACTCGAGATGAAAGTTTACAAGGTCACGTTTAGGTTCAGTGTGCCTCTCACCATTCGGTAATCACTGCTTAAGTGGTTAGTCATGGGGGTATAGTGCCATAGTTGCCACGCTTGGCGAGTGGGTTGGCAACCACATTTTTTTATTGCTGTTTGCTGTTATCAGAAAGATGTTGCTGCCCATCTCCTGCCTCAGTCTCCCTTTGTCGCCACTTACGACACCCTAGGGAAAATATGGGGTTAGTGGGTATTCTTACCCCCCATTACACGTATAACAGGGCATATAGTTTTTAAATATCAATAATTAATTCGTTACTTTAGATCACCTCATATTACGACAGACTTTCGATGTTTTCTCGGTATGGGTATGTTAGAAAAAAAGATAAAATTATAAAATATTTTTTATTTTTAAAATATTGTCTTTCAACGGTGGTAGAGCCACGTTTGGCTCGACCACGACGAAAACCCTATTGGCAGTTACTAATCAACTGGTGAACCTCAAGTTACCTCATGAGCTGGCAGTTTATTATGGACTCCATTATTTTGAAGATCAAGGAGGTGATGGCGATAAGCCTGTAGTTGGACGGGTCTGAGCGGTCGCCTTTTTTAGGGATCGGGTAGACCAAAGCTGTCTTCAGCACAATGGAAGGGACTCCATTAGGCCCACTCGACTTGCTGACGTCCAGGGAGAAGAGTGCTTTGCGAACCGAGCACTGTGTCTAACGCACATCCGGCATGGAGTACTCACACCGCTGGATGGTCGTCGGTGTGTTCCCCCCGTCATCGAGAGTCGTTGGATGCAAATAATGAGCGTAACGGATCGGCTTTTTCCTTTGCGGTATGGGACAGCAAGTCGTCCTCTCTGTGCAGAGATGGAATACATGACTGACAGAAGTCCCTTGGACAGCTTTGACGAAATACCAGACTGCACGGGTTCCCGAAGCAAGGCGAACTAGCTTCTCGCCAATTGTACCGATGTGCTCACACCTTGCCTTGGCAATGTCTCTTTTGAAGGACCTTATAGGCGTAATTATATCTCCTTTAAAGAGTACTGGTGTTTACATCTCGAGACCTTGATGCGTTAGCCCTGACCCGGTAGCACTCCTGCTTATAGCTTTATGCTATTTTGCAGGAGCGAGCAAACCATGGCTGAGATCTACCTCCGATGGACACCACAGAGGATGGACTAAAAAGTTCCATACCCTGAAGTAGCACATCAGCAACAGAATCAGCAACAACGCTGGCATCGTCCGGCGAGAAGCAAACCTGCCCCCAAGGGTAGGATGCAAAAAAGACGGCATCCATCCTAATCGGCCGACCTATAGTGCCAAACACGGCAGCAGCCTGCAGAATGCAACCGCAACGTTAATGTGACTGGCAACACACTCCGGACTAAAAATACTTGATCTTTTTCGACTCTTAAGTAGCGCCTAGTGAATAGAATTTTATTCAATAGTACAATTGGCTTAGTAAATCACTTAAAGTCGTTACTAATTCACACTAATCCTCCTTTAAATAGAATAAGGGACAAGCGAGCACACAGTCCAACTGATGGTAAGTACTGCATCCCATAGACATCTACATCTATCCTCTGTTAAGAATCAAAATGCAGATGCATTGTCACCCTTGAGGACTAAGATGGAATTCCTCGTTTCAAGTAATAAGAGTCTCCGGTTCAGTCACCACATCAAACACAGAAGCATAAAGCTGCTATTTTACGCTGGTATTCAATGAGTGAGACTTTCCGCCGATTACTCCTGCTCACATGTTTACTGAGAACTTCCTTTGAAACTACATTCGCTTCTTCCAGTGTGGATTGATGTTTTTGCCAGACCATCGATGGAGGTTATGAAAGACGGTAATTCCTTTTTTCTAAAACTTGGACTCGTCGTCCCACAAGATATATTTTAAACATAAAAAGCGACAGAACTGAAATCCTTCGTGAAGGATCTTCATTTTCCAAACCTTGTACAAGTGAAAACGATACTTGTTTTCTCAGTGCATCATATTCTACACCTTCCATACCGAAATGTTGAGGTTTTGAGCTAATGCTCCGTCGCTCGTAGTAGGATCTGCATCGAAAGCTGTAGTATTTCTCGACGATTGGGCCATGTCTTCGACTCCAGGTTTCTGGTGATAGATTTCAACTTCAGAAAGCCGTCGAAATATGCTGTAAAACACTCTGACATTTGGTAATGTTTGATCGGATATCGCTCTTGGTAAATCCACTGTGCCAAGGATCTATTACCGTCAGCTCTGCTATAGGTACATGAAGACTACATCAGCATATTCTTCATTGGTAATTGGTAATCGGAAACCATTGAAAGAGCACGTTTATAGAGCAAATCCTTGTT